ACATTTAAATTGCCAATTTCTTCTATTCAAAATTTTACTTTATTTTAAATGTCACAGAACAAAAAAATTGTTCTTAAGAAAATTAAATTTCGCCAAAAAAGTACTTGAAACTCCTTTTGTGATGAACAACTGGAACAGAACAAAATGACACAATGGGACATAAATCGATGTACTTGAGATTCTATTGTTGGCTTTAAGAGGAGAGTTTAAAGAGATTTTAATAGCCTGTTCTGCTTTCAAGGAATTTTACTTCTTCTTCTTTTGCTCCTTCTACTTTTTATGAGGACTTTTAATTACTAATTTCAATTTCTTTTCAGTGAATAACTGTCAAGGTTTTTAAATGGATGTTTTTTTGGAAGAATTGACAAGTTTTTGAAGTTTTTTTTCTCAAACTCAACCTTGTCTTTGTTTGGAAAATAAAGCAATGCTTCAATCTGAAAGTTAATAGTCAAATCAATGCTTTAATTTTAAAGCTTAGCCTCAAGTTGAATGTTAATTATCAAGTCAATGCTTTTATCTCAAAGTTGCGCTTCAGTTTTTAAATATAAGCTCCAATTTCTTAAAGCGTTGCTTCAAAAAACTCAGAAATGCAAGACTTACAGACATTTGTCATTATAACTTCTGCTAAAAAGATTCTCAAGTGTTGTTAAAAATGTAGCAATTGTCTATCCTCTTCAAATCCATTAATATCACTTCAACAAATTCAAAGAATCTTGATTAATGAATTGCTTCTAATGTTTGTGCGAAAAATAATAATTAATAGTTCGGTTAGTTCCTGATAATTTGAGGCCACATGATCGCAAAAAAGTAGAAACATCTTGACTTTAACATAAGCAATACTTAACATAAGCATGATTAATTGAAAATCAAACAAGGATATGTAACCAAATACGGATTATATTTGGCACCAATCGACTGTCTCGTCTATGACGATAATCAAAAGACTCGTGTTACGGCAAGTCCTTTTGTTTTTATGATGATAAGCGGCCCGACACACCTGAAACCAAAAGACTGACTTTGCGCCTTTTTTTTTGCAAATAAAAAAAATATTTTGCTGGTAAAAATTTTCACGCCTTGCTCATTGTTTGGGCAACAGAAAGTTCACAGTAATTTAGGATCAAAAAATATTTTAAACAAATAAAAGGATTTTTGTGCCTTAAAAATTTATGTCCGTCATTTGAAAGTGAAGACAATAGCAGATGAATCCTCTTATTATGCCTGGTTGGTGAAGAAATGTACTCCAATGTATATGAACAGCTTGAACTTTATGCAGAATAATGGACAAACGGTAAGCAAAGGAATCGGTGCGCTCGAGCCTCATAAAAAGGAAAATAGTAATTCCTCTTTTTTGGCACATGCTGTGTACATTTTGCCTTTCAATTATGGACAATAGGAGATTTTATTGCATCTCATTAGATGCCTATTTTTAGGTTATTTAACTTTTGTTCGATTCTTTTGTGTGTTTTTGTGTAGCTGTTTCTGGATGACCCAGTGAGTGTAGATGTGATGCTAGAGCTTGCTGGAGTGACCTAACAGTGCTAGAATTTGGAGATCGTACATAAAAATTTCAGTACTTAGTGTAGGAATTTACAGTATTAATAAGGTTTAAACTCACTCAATCATTAACTCGGCATTATATCAATCTATGCAAATGCTAAGCTTTATACTGCTAAAGTCAGTCTCCTGTCGTAATAAATTCAAACATTAGTCAGCTCTTCTTCTCGGTCCTGAGGAGGGGGAGGAGGCTCCTAATCAGTACAAGTCTGATTAATTCAGCAGAAAACCATACTAAATACAAGCGATTCCTTACTCACTGGGCATCATCTCGAAAAGTTCCAACCCAATACTACAAAAAAAGAATTCAAAATGACTTTAAAATTTATTTATCTTTTAAATTTCCATTTGTATTCACCTATTCCTGCATAAAAATAGAGTAAAGGCAAAAAAATGCTGCAAAAAAAAGAGAATAATTTGAAAAAGAAGAAAGACAATAAATTATCCAGGATTACAAGAAGCGCCTCATTGTCTCAAATACATAACTTCCAGTGAATCTGACTATTCAAAATTTTGAAATATTACATGAAATTAGTTAAAAAGTTTCTTTTCATTCTATTCACACTCACAGTATGGATGCATATGGAACCATATGATGCAACATTATTGGTTGAATATAAAAAGGAGAGAAGAAATCAATAGCCAGCGGTCATGGACAAAAGTGAAAAAAGATCCTCATTTCCGATGAATTTTGCATAGTTAATCGACTTTGAATAGAATCTATTTTGAAAATATCAATTTCATAGTAACAAAAAAAATTAAATACATTTTAATGCATTTAACTAAAAACATAATAAAAGGCAAACAAGGAAGCAGAGAGGGAGGAATGTTGTTGGATATGGTCAAATGAATATAAATAAAAATATCCATAAAAATGTGTGCAATAAATCGACATAAAATTGCTGTTGAAAATGAGATTTCTGGCGCGATATTGTTACTTTATTAACAGCACATAATGCCACATTATAGCTCTTTTATGTGTGCAATATTAATATTGCTGAAACTGAGATACAGTTTGATCAGTCGGGGGTCGAAATTGTTAATGATAATTTTATGATGTTGGTAATTTTATTGCTTACGATGTGTGCTGTAAATGTGTTTTATTTAATTTGATCAAGGTGGGATATATTTTGCAGTGGCTTTTAATGGTAGAGCGTTGATCTTTCATTCGAAAAGTAAGAAATTCAGCTCATGAACTTGTAGTTTTAAGATGAATAACATTTGAGATGATTAAGTTCATAAATTTGCTTTTAATGTACAGGTAGGGGGAGGATTGTTCTCTAAAAGTTAAGAAACTCAACAGCTTTAGATCATAAAGAATTATTTTTATTCTAGAAATTTCAAGAAGTGGTGATTTTATGCTTTAATCAAAAATCAATTCCTTTATTCTCACCCAAATTTTTAATCTCAATAATTAAATATTCTCACACGAAGTCTCACTATTTTCTTTGAATTCGCGCATCAATTTCAACCCATAAATTAACACAGAAGAGAATCGCTAATAATATTTCATCACAACCATCAAATCGCTCCTGTCACAATTACATACTCTAAATTCAAAATGCAATTTTATTATCGAAAAAAAAAAATTCAATTAAAATAAAAAATCATCAAGCATTGACTGCAAGTCTACAATCTAAAACATCTGCTTAGGCATGTTTTTTTTATGGAAATATAATATGCATCTACCATTTACCTGGCAATTTTCTATGACGTCTCGATTCTTATTTTTCTCCATCATGAAAAGAGCATAAAGGAACACAAAATTGCTCTAAAGTGCAAAAACTGAAGAAGCATTGGCACGGGTTTTGAATATCAAATTACAATTTCTGCCGATGATCAGGAAAAGACAAAAGAAACACGACGATACATAGACATTTTTTTTTCAAGATTTCTGATAATATTGACAGTAACTTTATTTTGAGTTGTGAGATCTTAATGTGAATTAAATGAATCCTTTTCGTTCCGGTTGATGAATGAGTAAATATTTGCTAAACATGTGACATTAGATTTTTGCTACAAGATTTGGACTGTTTTTGTTTGGATTCACATGTGCCTGTTGTTGTGTTGGCAGTTGGTAAATAAATGGCATCAAATGAAGGGTTTGGTGTTGCTTTTTTCTTGGGAATTGGATGTCAAGGCGCTAGAACTTGAAGATTAATAGATATTTGGGATATTTTTGAGAATTAAATGTCAGTTGAAGAAGTTTGAGCTCGAAAGACTTGTTATCACTAGCTTGACAGTGCAATTTATTGAATTTTGAAAATTGCTTGCACTAGAAATGCAGTCAAAAGCTTTAAACGGTGTTAAAATAGTCAAATTTGTGTTGCATGACTTCAAATTATTTAAAATCAATCCACAAAAACCTTCAATTACTTCACAAAAATCTCTAAAAATCCTCTCTAATTTCTTTCTTCACACCTTCTTTCAACCATAAATCAAAAAACATGTAAAAACTAAAAATTTGTTAATAACAACACATTTTAGAACAAAACAACCTTAAGATATTCAAAATTTGATTAATCGATCCTTTTATGCTTTTCAAAAAACATTTTTTTTTCACACCCTTGAACAAATAAAAATGACTTTATAATAATTATTTATTGCAATCCAATTTTTTATTTGCCTTGTTTATTTTTTTTATAGAGCTGAGACCCTTTTGGTAGGCTTAATCAGCTCATTTGTATCTCATGATGGTATCGCACTGAAATCGAAATTTTATTTTAAAATAATAATAAAAAGGGAATGAGAATTTGTGCCTTTATTTCAAGTGCTGATCATTTATCATCTTGCTTGTTTTTTTTAAGGAAATTTCTTCTTCTTTAAATATGGAAATATAAAATATGAAGAAATTAATGAATGAAGGAAATTACAATTTAAGAGAAACGCAAATTTGTCAAAATCAAATTATTCATTATGTCGATGTGTGGTCTCTGAATGTTCACAAAGCTGTTTTGTTTTAGTTGCTCTCAATTAGCACAATAAACGGTGGAAACAGATCATCATTGAAGCAATGAATATTATGGGAATAAAGTAGCAGTAAAGTTGATGAATTTTTTTTTGAGTTTTTGTGAATTTTGAAGCGTTTTTTAAGATTTTAAACGAAACTTGAAGAAATGATGCAAAATTAAGTCGACGCTTCATTTTATGAAGAAAAAAAGAGTCAACGCTTCAACTCTTGACACAATAATGAGTCAACGATTTAAGTTTTCACACAAAATTGAATCAACGCTTCAAAATTTTATAACATAATTAAGGCAACGCTTTAAATGCTTCAAAATATGTTTAAACTAAAACAAAACAGAATATTGATAGACAACAAAAATAAAGCTATCATCAAAATGTTCCAAAACATCCTCCAAAACGACTGCATCTAATCGCCAACTTCACAAAAACTCCGTACCAAAAGAACTGTAATTTGTACATAAAATATTATTAAATTTCAACTAAACAGTCGTGAATATTATCATTAAGACTAAAAGATCATTTGAAGAATTTTTAATGTTTTTACCTACCGCAGTTGCATTCGTATCTACTAAAATATGAGAAGTGAATATAAAAATATGAAATTAGCAAAAAAAAGGCTTCGTACTCGACAACGACATATTCACGTGACGCATAATGAATGGATTTATGTATGCATTCTAAAATGTAGCAATTTTTTTATGTTGTTATATTATTGGGTTTATGCTTAGCAACATTGTTGGTGTTAATGTGCAATTTTAATGGTCAAAGTTGTTATTTTGTGTGTCGATCGTGGTAATAAGTTTCGCTTAAAGGGGATGAAGCTTTGGTTGGTTTAGAAATTTTTTGATTTTTGCTGGATTTTGTCTTAACTTTTGATGATTGAAGGTAAAGTTTTGTTATTTTGAAACACATCTATGCTCAATGTAAGTTCAAAAATTGTCAATAAATCTAAGAGACATTTAATAAATCAGTTCCCATCCCTCATCCATTCACCAGATTTTCTCATGCACATTTTTAAATACTAATCACTCAAGTCCATCAAAACATATCGATGTGCTAATAATAAAATTAAATTTAAATTGCTGTTAAAAGGAAGAAGGAAGACATATCATTAGATAACAATAAAGAAATGTCCATAAAATATGAAAATTACCACAATTTTGTGCATGAGACTTTGTTGCAATGAATTTTGACGATAAAAATTTTATGATAGCCAGCAAAATTTCGACAAGTGACAGGAAACTGAAGCCGAGAAAGAGCGCGTAAATGCTGCCAAAAGTGACAAGAAAATCGAGAAGTCCGAACCGTGACTCACGATGAAATGAGATTATTGGCCATTGATGAAGGTCTAAGGTGACATGAGTTGACTTATTTTGATCTCTTTCAATAAAAATCTTTTCGGTTGAGTAGACAGTGTTGTCACATGGCAAGTAGCATTTTGAGAACTTATCGTTCCTGCTTAAAGTATCAAAAGTTTCACACATGCATTTTAAATCATCAAGTCCGCAGTATGTTTGGATTGCTAAATCATTAGGTCGAAAATATGGAATGATACACCCACATGCTTTCTGATACTTCTCAATGACTAAATCTCTCCTGCATCCTGAATATGTGTAGTCCTCATTTGCATAAAATTTGGATTTCCTTTCGTTTTTAAAGAAACATTTACGAAAATTGGCATGAAATTGACGCAGATCATCACTCGTGTGGGTTTGTCTAATTGAGAATAAAATGTTTGTACGAACATTAGGCTTTAATGTCTCAATTTCTTTATGGTGGTTGCTTAGAATCTCATCGCGGGAATGCATGAAAAGTTTTGACTGCGTTAAGAGTTCGAATTTTAAGGTGTGATCTTCAAATTCAATCATTTGCATCATTTGAGGATTTTTGAAGCTGTAATAAATTATTTTATTACTGCCAATAACTGAATAAGCAACAAAATAGGTCAACCTACTCATTAAGCTCTCCACCATAGCTTCTGCTATTAAATGAATAACAAAATCCATGTTCCGACATTCTTGGCAAGAAATTCACACAACAGTCAATTGGATGTCCCTTAAATTCACAATTCTTAATCAGATCTCCACATCCAATGGCCAATTTAAAAGTCATTATGCGAAGATCATCTGATTTTAAATTTTCTCCAATTATCTTCAACATTTTTGTGTCAAAATATTGAATTTTATCGGATGTTTGTGCCATAAAATTTGGAATTAGCTTAATTATGTCATTTTCCTTATCTGATGCTGTAGTATTAAGATTTTTTATGATATCAGAAATCTTTGCTGCATCAATGGCATATACAGGGCAGACATCGACAGTTGGATAGCTGACTTTAATGTCATTTTCGTTTAGGGCAATGCTGGTGAATGTTGGATTTATGTTGAATCTTTGGATGGCTCTGAAGAGGAAGGATGAGGCTACGATAAAGCCTAGGAACATGATGAAAAACCACCAGAGGCTAGAATCATAGAACTATTTAATTCGAGCCCAAGAGAGCCCTTTAAAGAATATCTTGAGCTGTTAATTAAGTTTCTAGTCCTCAATCGATTCAAACATCATTAAATCGAATCTGGATCCTCAAATTCATAAAAACTTACTTCTCTTTTAGATTCCTATTAGCAATTCCCCTTCCTCCATATCCAGGATAGAACAAATTCAACGTTTTATGTACAAAACTATTGCGAAACAATCTTGGTGACTTATACTCAAACTTTTCATCCTCAATTGAATTTTTATTACTTTTTACATCATTAAATTCTTTCTGTTCAGCCATCTTCTCTAAAGAACAATTCACAATAGCTTCTGAATCCTCTCGATACTTCCTAATATAATCAATTCCGCCTCATCAATTAATCATTTATTTTCCCAATTATTATTTTCTCATGTAATTTTAGCATGCGTATCATCATCGAATCATCTAATTAATGTGAGTCGTATTTGAAATGGACAAGACCGAAAAACAAATACAACGGCATATTCGTGACTTAATAATGGGTAGAAAAACAAACATCATAAAGAATACAGCACGTAGATTAATTAATAATTAGAAGCAGGTGCTTTCGTTTCTGTTTTTCTTTACTGCTAGTCTTACTGTTGTTATTACACCACGTGCTCAGCAGACTTCGAGATTGATCAGTGCCTTTTTTATATTGGTCAATTTGCTTTAAATTGCTTAATGATGTAAAACAGAATCTAATTTTCATTGAGATGAGTTTAAGATAAAAAGATTGTGAGTCGGAAATGGGTTGAATATTTTAGAGATGCTTGATTGCTTTGAAAAGCTAATTTTATGCTACTAGTCCAATTGATAGTCAAAACTAATGTAAAGTTTTCAAAAAAAGAATCAAACTTATTAGCAGGACATCATATATAAACATTTTAATTGTTCTGACTAGTAGCATAACCTATTTTTATGACTCATTCAAAAACCCATCAAAAATCCCAAAACTTATATCTTGAATATTCAAAAGACTACTCATGTCTCGTGCCACTTCTATTCTTATGTCGCGCATCAATACCCATAATACAAACATCAGAAATTTTTCATCCACTTCTTTCTCTTTTTATTGCTTTTTCATCAAATATAACAACAAAATTTCTGTAGGGTCATTGAAGGGAATGAGACAACATGATATAAAAAAAAATACACCTGCCATTTACATACAAAAATAATCTTACGAAAAAAAAAGTTACAACTTACCAAGAGGCTCGAGCCAAGTGATCAACAGCGAGATGAATTTTGGACACACTTGGCATCGTGCCATGCTATACGAAACGAGAGTAACCGAGAATGTCTTGATAATTATGAGTTGTAATTAAATCATTATCGATAATGGAAAACAGGAATATTTATGATGTCTTTTTATCAAGTTTTGTCACATCTTTTTTAAATTTATGTAATGCTTAGGTCAAGTGGTGTTTGAAACATGTTCGAGAAATTGCATGTTACATTTTTCAATTCCCTTTAGTTTCAGTTTCTTTTTATCAAAAATGCAACATTGTTGCAGCGTCAAACAATTTTCAATGACTCGATGCCATGAAACTTTCTGTTGTAAAGTCAGAATGAATGGAATAAAAAATGTCGACATAAGATTTGATAGCGTATCATATCCTCATTGAATATAATAATAAAGATGTTAAATTTCATTATAACTATCATAAATTCATTTCTTCCTTTCATTTTTTTCCTTTAAACTGGATTGGGACACATGTAATAGCATTTGCAAGAATTTCTCATTAAAAAGTAAATGTTTGTAATATCAATTTAACATAATAACAATGATAAAAGTTTAAATTGGCGTTTGAAGAGTTGAAGCGAGGAGCATGAGTTGGATTCAGTAAAATTTTTCGCATGAAAAGTGCTTTCAGTAAAAATTTTCGCTTCAAAAGTGCGTTCAGTAAAATATTTTGCATCAAACGTACGTTTAATAAAATGTTTGCATCAGAAGTGCGTTCAGGAAAATTTTCGCATCAAAAGCACATTCATTAAAAAATTTTGCATCAAAATTACGTTCAGTAAAAATGTTCGCATCAGAAGTGCGTTCAGGAAATTTTTTGCACCAAAAGTGCGTTTCAAAAATTTCAGATCAAGACGTTCAGTAAAACATTTGTAAAAAATATTTTGATAAAAAGTTTGCACCTTTTGCTTACATCTGCAAGTAAACTATCAAGAAATGTAAAGAAAGTCAGATCCAAATGTTTCACAAGCAGCCATTATATTCGTCCTTATCACACTCATTAAAACATTCGATTTAATTTTTAATAGCAATTTTTTAATCAACCAGCAAGTAAAAAAAAGCAAAAAAATAATTATAAAGAATGATGTAAAGGTTCTCGATGTAGCAGTGAAAAAAAGTTCCGTTAAATAAGAACGCACATGCCGAACATTATAAAAATATCGAATATGCATGTTAAAAATTATTGATGAGCAGTTGATGACAACCGGGTGCATATAAACAACTTGCAGTTGGCACTTTTGCGTACATAATTTCTTTCGTGCTTTCTTTTTCTGTTTCGCGGTTCTTTTCTTGTTTTGTCTGAACCCGCGAGTGAAAAGTATGCGAAAAAAAGCTGTGGGTAGCAAGGTGTTTATACTTATTGGAAGATGTGTCATATGACTGTGAAATTTATGGTTGTTTACTGACATATGTCTGAATTTGTACTACTGGAATCGAACAATTTCGTTCATGATAAATTCGATTAAGTTCTTTCACCCACGAGCTTTTCAATAAGATGTTTAAATTATGCATTATTACATACCACCATGAAATTCCTTTTAGCCTTAGTAATTTTAAACAAATTTATTCAGAACCGGAAAAAACGTCTTTTTTCAAAGAGTCAGCGAGAGATGTCGCCAAAAAAAAGATACAAAATTTATTAAATATAGCAATTTTTGTGTGCAGTGATAAAAAATAATTTTATGAATTTGCCACGATTTTGTTGCAATATTCAGATGTTCATAAGTATTTGAACAAGAATTCCTTAATTTCTTTGCATAAAACTGTGAATATCTTGCTGATCGAAGATGATGATGAGTATCGTAATGTCATAATGAAGAAATTATAAACGCGTGCCGTGTGTCGCAAAATCGTTCTGTGCTCTCCATTAAGAGATTTTGTAATTTTGATAACACAAAAAAATCTTTAAATGCGAGTGGATTTTAATGTGAATCAATAAAAAAATTTAAGTGAAAAAAATCATAAAAAAAATCTTGAATTATAAAAAAAATGCAACAAAATAATGTCTTAATTTTCTCGGAGGGCATATCCCATCAACTTGATATAGATGACGTCTAATTTTCAAAATTTCCTAGAAATGGCATTAGCAAAATAAAAATTTTGACCATTGTTTTGTTGCATTTTGCGGCATGAAATACAACAGGTTAACGAAAACCAACAAAAAATTAAGACATCAAAAAAATTATTTTCTCACACACCCTAAAACTTCATGACACATGATGCACGACCGCAATCTTTTTCACAAAAGGAATTGCCTCAACTTTTTTTTTTGCCAAAGAAAAACAAATAGAGGCTGACCAATTAAATATAATTTATTAATTATAGAATTAGATCTGAGGCTATTTTTTGCGGTTATTTGAGAAAGGAATTGAGTTCTTGAGTCTGCAGTATGTCCGATTGTTTGTACGAATGTAAATTCTATCAATCTGGCTTTGATTCTGTCTCAATCTGTGCGTCTGACTCTTAATCAACATTGGACGTAAGGAGGTTGTCTGGGTGCTGGTTTTATTTTCGATCTGCTTCTTAATTGATGTGTTTGTTTGCTAGTATGACTGGTCAAAAACAAGGAGTTTTAAGGTTTAGGATCAAGGGATTCTGTGCAAATAAAATGCGCTTTAAGTGACCATAAATGACCACTTTATGCAACACATTAGTTGATATATTGCGTTGGACATAAAGGTTGTTATGGTCAGGAATTAAAGGAGGGAAGCATATCAAAAGGAACCGTCACAGAAAAATCATCAAAAATTTCTTGATAAATTACTAAAGAACGAGGATTCTCGTAAAAAATGGGAGCAATAAAAGTTGAATATCTCATTTCCGACTGTTTTGCGCCATAGGTGACCATCATTGTTTAACAAGAGACTAAAAAATATTTTTATATCAAACCACGAAGAGATTCCAAACAGGTGAAAACGACTTTGCTCACCTAAACTTCATTAATCAATATAAAATTATGATAATAGAGTGGAGAAATCTTTAAGATATGCGATTTTAATGAGCTATTTCAATCTTAATTATCGCACAATTCTTATGATGATCATCATGGTTGCATTTTATGACTAAAAATTGAATTAATTTTTCTTCTTGAGATATTGCGCAGAGTGGCAAGGTTTGATCACCTTTGGATGCCATAAAGAAATCTTCATTATATTTAATATGTGTGATGTGCCTCAAAGAAATTCTTTGATAGTTTAAAAAAAAACTTTTTTTTTTCTTGAATAAATTTTGGAATTCTTATAAAATGCATTTAGGTTTATGAAGAAGAGCTCTAACGCCTCAAAAAATAAGATAAAACAAAAAATTGTAAAGGAGATGAACAGGTAGGAAAATAAAAAAAAAATAATAAAAATCGTTCCTTTTGTGCATTCATTCGCATCATCTTCTTCTTGCCGTTGTGCAAGATATCTGTTGCTTACAAACTTATTAAATTGTTTTGCGGCACAAAATGAGTTCAAGAGTTCATTTTTTAGTTCTAATCAGTGCATCATTCATTTCTTCTTTGCCTCCAAAGTATCCGGCCATATATCTCGATGTGATTACTAGAGGATTATGCTCGTTACTCTTTGATTAAGGTTATGGGATGATGTTGTAATTTCATGGAAATAAGTTATGCTTCTGAGGATGAAGTTTAGGATTTTGGAGGCTTGGTAAGTTGTAAGATGGGATTGAAGATGAATATTATTGAACATGGTCCTAATGTAGCAAGAGTTTATCATGACTCAATGTTTAAGTACTAATTTTCATCATACTCTTCCAATTCCGGCGTCTTTGCGAAAATTCCTTATTATTTCAAACTTCATATCAACCACCAAGCTTTTCTTCTCAAATTTCACCCATGCAATGCCTCACACTTGCCGTATACATCCATTAAATTAATTCACCATTCAATAACTCCCATCAATTTTTCGGTCACAGTTAATAAAGTCATGTACCGAATAATGATGCAAATTATAATACTAATAGCCACGAACATTGCCAGAAATAATCACTTATTTAAGAGAAATGTAAAACTTGGACATGCTAATACAGGAAA